CAGGAAAACTGCTCTCTGTCTCTGTCCGGTTTGATTGGAAAATCTGTTGAATTTCTATATTGATCGCTATACCTTGATTTGGTGTTGCTTATACACTGTAAATTTGTGAATCGTTTGGCTTAGCTAAACCAAGTTAAATCTAGACAAAGTGCCAGAGGAGTGCTTAAACATTGTACAGGCCCTTCTCGCAATAAGCAATGCAGTGGATTAGACTTTTAAAACTTTGTTTTATTTATACTTTTCAGATTATAGTTTGATGAAGATGTCATATAAAGCACACAGTGCTGATTTAACCAATCTGTGAACACTTCCTGAGTTTTGCTGTCATCTGATTGGCTGATATGGCTTTGAAGGGCGGGATTTTGAAGGGAAGTTAGCAAAATGTAGTTTTGCAGAAAGGAGGTTAAATGAAAACTCTGAGTATGTTAACCCTGAAATGAGGGAAACTCTGGGTTTTCCGTTTCAGAATGGGAGGTATGTCAAACCCGAGAAAGCAGGGTAAGTCAAGCCCGTTTCTGAAAGGGAGGTAACTTATAGAATCAGTTACCATGGTAACTTACTCTGTGAACCTAACCTGGTCAGGAGCAGGTTTTCTTCGGTAAACCCAGAGTTTCTTTCGGTCTCCTCCCCCTTTTTAAAGCACAAGCGATATTAAATACTTCATTCATTCATGCACGCTGCAAAAATTTACAAATATCTAAAAATTCTTAAATCAAGATGGATTTTCTATATAAAAAAAATGATATAAGATATTTGTTTCCTGGGGGGATCTAAATTAAGTGCATTTGACTTAAGTAAAATGATCTGCCAGTGTGGTAATAAAAATAATGCAAATGTCTTAATGCAAATGGGAAACAAGATTATTCGGAGTGTCTTTTACTAAGTGCAAATTTACAGTAGCTCCGCTCTCCAATGTCATACAAGGTTATGAGGCGTGAATAAGGGCTTCAGTGGTGTAGGCAGTAATGCGTTGGGCACAGAGAACTAGCTTGTGACGCGATTGACCGAATTTGAGTCCGGCTTTTGCCGAGCTCGCTCTTCTCACTTTTCCCATCACATATCACACTAGAATTTATTTTCAATAAAAATGAAGAAAATGTTCTAAAAGTGGAAATAAAGTGCCTAACCAGTGTTTAATAATGATAAAAGTATTTATCATTTTAAAGTGAAAAGTGACGTGACATGTGTGACGACCCATACTTGGAATTAGTGCTCTGTATTTATCCCATCCAAAGTGCACACACACAGCAGTGAACACACACACACCGTGAACACACACCTGGAGCAGTGGGCAGCCATTTTTTTGCTGCGGCGCCCAGGGAGCAGTTGGGGGTTTGGTGCCTTGCTCAAGGGTACCTCAGTCGTGGTATTGAAGGTGGAAGCCAGCGCTGTACATTCACTCCCCCCACCTACAATCCCTGCCGGTACGAGACTCGAACCCGCAACCTTTGGGTTACGAGTCCGACTCTCTAACCATTAGGCTGCGACTTCCCCTTCCTATACTTAATAAATATAATAATTAAAGTAAATAAAAAGTATAAAAAGCATCTAATTATTATTTACACTTACTGCAAAGAACTGCTACTTTTACATGGTAAATAGAATATATCACTATTTTCACTGTGTAAATAGCATCTAGAGCTATTTGCACTTAGCCTACTGTAAATAGGATCTATTGCTAAGAAAGTAGGCCTATGCTAATTCCACTTGACTTAGTGTAAATAGCCGCTGCCGTATTGTCTTACCCTATTGGCAGATCATTTGTAAAGTAAGAAAAATGCACTTACATTATTATTATTTATATTTTTTGCCCATGGGATACCATGATAATGAATAGCCTATTAGTTCAATAACCTACCGTTCTGCCAGTTTTCACCTGTGATATTATAACAGTGATAAGAATTAAACTTGTATTGACTCTGAGGTATGCAGACGTCTTTTTGTCGGGTGCTGTTGCCATGGTGAATCATAATATCAGAGCTCCATTGATCATGGCTTTTCATAGTCGTGGTGCACCAGAGTTGATTGAACTAACTTAATTCAGCTGTTCTGAAACCGAAAACTCAGAGTTTCCCCATCTCAGAGTAAGTCAACTCAAGAGTTCAAGTTTTAACTCAGAGTTGGTTGAACCTCCTTATTGAATGGGAATAGATTGAGAACTGCAGGCATTATGCATCAGCGAAACGGTTGAAATCACTTGACTTTGTACCTTTGAGTTGATTTGCATACTGAATTATGAGTGTCTTGCATCTGTTTAACCTGTTGGCGTTCCACTGTACCACCTGCAGTACACCGCGTGTTTTTGAGGGTTAACTTCATGACATACAACAACTCAAAAAACAAACAAAATAAAACACGTCACATATCTTTGGAAAGCTGAGATTCTTGTGATTGATGCAAGATACAATCAACACAGCAGGTACAATCAGTATCTTTGTCAGACCACCAACAAGGCTTCATGCTGTGATCCCATTGCGTTTTCCAGCTAATAGCTCCCAGCTATAGTTATCTGCAGGCATCTGTTTACAAAAAAAACTATATATATATATATATATAGGCGGAATGTTTTTTTCCGTTTTCAGTGTGTTCAAAGTTCTATTTCTCAATACCAGTAAGACTTACAGTTCTGTTTATGAACAAACCTCAGTGTCACCTTTCAAAAGAGACCATGCATATACTCCAAATGGTTCAAGAACAGCATGCAATTTACTTCGGGTATGCCTTTTTTAGGAGTTTTAGGCAAATTTTACAGGAATGCTAAGGGGCTCTCTCGCTCTCCCTCTCCCTCTCTATCGCTCTCTCTCTCTCTCCCTCTCTCTCTCTCTCTCTCGCTCTCCCTCTCCCTCTCTATCGCTCTCTCTCTCTCTCCCTCTCTCTCTCTCTCTCTCGCTCTCCCTCTCCCTCTCTATCGCTCTCTCTCTCTCTCCCTCTCTCTCTCTCTCTCTCGCTCTCCTTCTCTATCGCTCTCTCGCTCTCTCTCTCGTGCGCTCTCTCGCGCTCTCTCTCTCTCGCTCATTACGCAAATCTTCCCACATAGTGATGTAGATATGTGGGGGCGTGTTAGAACGAGGTGTTTTAGGGGGGCGTGGCAGAGTCTTAACTTTGATAAAGAATATCTCTTTGGTTTTGAGACTTTAGTCTTTGCAACTTCAGGGATCTTATCTATGCACAATCAGCTTGTAGCACTCCAAAGAGAAAGCAAAACTTGAAATCGCGTCATATGACCCCTTTAAGTTGAAATCAAGAAAGGTTTCAGAGTTGCCATGGCAACAGAAAAGCGGCTCTAATGCTGCACTTGGTGTATTTGCGAACGGATTTGAGAATGAATCGTTCTTAAAAACTGATATGAATATTTTTAATAAATCGGTCGAACTGATGCTTTTGCAGATCGCCACGAGAGTAAATCAACATTGTTAACATTATTACCATAATCGCTATTAATAATTAACATTTTTATGCTGAAAAAAAATGTGTAGAAACAATTTCCACTCAGAAATCGCACACTATAACTATAACGTTTCACAGTTATAGATAAACGCACGTAACACATTGAATTAAACATGAAATTTTGAATTAGAAATAGCCTACTTAAATAGTTTTTCACTTTAAACGTGAAATATTATTTACGTAAAACGTTTATTGTATGAATACATATTAAATGTAGATATAGCAATCATTTGGACGATAAACACACTTAACCTAACATAATAACGAAAACATAATGATTAAACTCCAAGTTTGCTATAAAATTCAATGTTCTTGGAACGCTTTTTGTGAATCGGGTTTTTGAATCGGTTCATCAAGCCGATTTGCTTAATTCTTTTTTTTTATGAATCGGTCGAACTGATACTCCTTTTGCAGATCGCCACGAGAGTAAATCAACATTGTTAACATTATTACCATAATCGCTATTAATAATTAACATTTTTATGCTGAAAAAAAATGTGTAGAAACAATTTCCACTCAGAAATCGCACACTATAACTATAACGTTTCACAGTTATAGATAAACGCACGTAACACATTGAATTAAACATGAAATTTTGAATTAGAAATAGCCTACTTAAATAGTTTTTCACTTTAAACGTGAAATATTATTTACGTAAAACGTTTATTGTATGAATACATATTAAATGTAGATATAGCAATCATTTGGACGATAAACACACTTAACCTAACATAATAACGAAAACATAATGATTAAACTCCAAGTTTGCTATAAAATTCAATGTTCTTGGAACGCTTTTTGTGAATCGGGTTTTTGAATCGGTTCATCGAAGCCGATTTGCTTAATTCATTTTTTTTATGAATCGGTCGAACTGATACTCCTTTTGCAGATCGCCACGAGAGTAAATCAACATTGTTAACATTATTACCATAATTGCTACTAATAATTAACAATTTTTTATGCTGGAAAAAAGTGTAGAAAGAAACAATTTCCACTCAGAAATCGCTAAATTTCACAATTAGTAGAGAAGCGCAAGTAACACACTGAATTAAACATGACATTTTGAATTAGAAATAGACTACTGAAATAGTATTTCACTTTAAACGTGAAATGCTATTTATGTAAAACCTTTTATTTACAACGTCGATGTTTTTATAATACAGATGAAGCGAATATAACAATAATTTCAACGATTAAAAAAAAACATTTCTACATAACCTAACATAATAACGAAAACATAGCCTAATGATTAAACTGCAAGTTTGCTACAAAGATTAAATGTTCTGTTGGGAACGCTTTTTGTGAATCGGGTTTTTGAATCGGTTTATTGAACGCCGATTCGCTGTGAATCGGGCTTCTGAACCATACAACGCCACATGAAACGTAGCACTGATATTTCCCTTTGTAAATACAAATGTAGCTATTTAATGGAGTAGAACCCCCGTTCTCCAGGCTTGCTACCCAAACCTGCCACACGGTGGATGTGTCGGCTCGCTCTTGCGCAGTTAATGACTCGCTCCCCCTCACCGCTGCTGCTGATCAGAGGCGTTTGCAGCAGACCGCCCAGGATAGTCGTAGAGCCACAGAGCTCTGTTTCGCTTTCTGTCTGCGGATCATAACGGTTTCATATCAAGGCGTTTACATCACGAAACTATCCCGCAGCGATCGGCGTTTATTTTCTTCCGTCCTTCTCTGGTGATAAAACCAGGCGAGCGCAGAAGAGAACGCGCAGTAATGGGAAGACGCGGCGTGGTTTCATTAGGTTACATTTCCGAAGAATGATCTATCCATCTGTCGATCACATTTTACGAGCACAAACATCCTTCTCCATGCATTGGACGTAGACTTTCGGAGCACAGAAGAGTTTTGAGCATGCACGGCGCTTAAACCGAGGAAACCAACAGTTTTTACAAACAATTCTCGTCGCTTCGCTGACACTCTTGATTTGATCTCTGGATGTATTTTTGCTGCTCTTGTGTCCTGCAGTGATGTGCACCGTGCCAAACGCGCGTAGATGCTATGAAATAACACAAGATGTTGCAGTTTTGGGGGTTTTCAGCTGAGATGTGTCTTATTTCATTCGCTAAACTTCAGTGTTGCCCTGTTTGGCGATGAGTCTTCAGCAGCAGCATCATTAGAAAGCAGTTGTGTGTGTGTGAGCACGTTGATGCTTGCGTTTTAATATGCATGAATGTGATGCTTTCTCTTTTTAAAGTGCATTTACGTTCATAGCGCTTCAGTTTAGTCTTCTAGTTGAGCATCATTTTCAGACATCTGTGTGTTTGTAGGGACGTATTGTGGTTGATGTGTGATCCATGTTGGCTGTGCATGACATTCTAGGCCACTTTAACGCTGCTTTAACTTTTTAGGTTCATAAAGCGTCATCTTCGGTGCAGGCATTTGCTTGCCTAATAAGATGTTTGATATGCATTAATGACACATGTTGGCTGTGCATATTTTAGACTACCCAAATGCTGCTTAAACTTCGTAAAGTGCATTTATGTGCATAAACGCATAATTTCGCCTACCAGTTGAGCGTCATTGTCATTTTCAGAAAGCAGTGTGTTTACTGGCACTGCTTGCTTTTAAGGCGTTTCAATGTGCATTGATGCGATGACTTTTGGTTTTGCATGTTATTATATGCTGCTTTAACTTAATGTAGTAGTTACATTTAAGTCTATATAGTTAACATTTCGTGTCCTGTATGGGCATTAACAGTGTGTAGATTGTTTTGGCTGAGCTTAACATTTTGTTGCTTTGACATTTAAGACCTTAAAATCTCATTTCGGTCTCCCAGATGTTGCATGACTGCTCTGAAACTAAAGGAAGCTGGTTTTGAAGCAGTGAGTGCGCAATGACGCTGTTGTTGTGCGCAAATGTGTTGACGCCACCTGTGGTCTCTTAAATCGATTGTTTCAGGAAGGTTTAGTCACTTTGACCAGGAGAGAGTTCAGTTTGCACAGCAGCCGTGTTGCTTGCGCTTTCTAACTAAGTTTAGGTGTGTATCCTCGTGCGTAACGCGTAAGTGGAGAGTTTAAATGGTGCTCCGAAAGTTACCCGGTGTCTCCGCATCGGGCATGGGGCTTCGTCTGTCTCAGAAATTCGTGTTTCTGCTGTTCTTGTCGGGGTTGGTTACTCTGTGCTTCGGGGCACTTTTCTTTCTACCCGACAGCGTGCGCCTGAAGCGCATCTTTCTCTCCAAGAACGAGAATCCCGCGGTGACCGTGGGCTCCGACAATGAGCTTTCCAAAAAGGTGCCCGGGGATCCAGAGCATCAGCGGGTGGGTTTAAAAGGGGGCGAGGGGTCGAATGTCAAACTGAAAGTGAGCCGCAAGCCCTCGGTCACCCATGGAGCGAGAACCGTGGAGAGATCTGTTGGGAGTAGAGCGCAGGACGAGTGGAGTCCGGCGAAGGCGCACGAACCAGCGGCCAGGGACGAGCGGGTCACCTCGGCCGCCCATAACGGGCAACGCGGGAGCGTTTACAGCTATGAGACGTTTAAAAAGTGTCTGCTGAAACCACCTTTGGGGAAGAACATGGGAACTCCGTCGGATTCCGAGACGCTTCAGCGGAGGGAGAAAGTCAAAGAGGTGAGATGATGGCTCTCATTATTGTCTACTGTGAATGGAAGCCCATTTCTGATACATAAGCCTTGGTAAATCAAGAGATATGAAGTCATATTTATGAGATAAAAGGCGGAATTATGACATACTGTGTCATCATTGTGAGATGACAAAGAAAAAAAAAATCATAATTATGTGATTTTGAAGGCAGAATTATAACATGCTATAACTGTGAGATAAGAAGTCGAAACTGTCACATACTGTATCATAATTATGAGATTAAAAGTTGGAATTATCACAGTGTTATAAATGATCACATAGTAAGTCATAAATATGAGATGAGAAGTAAAAAATTATGACAAGTAAAAATTATTAAGTCATTATTATGAGATAAAATTATGAGATAAAAAGTTGGAATTATGACAATGTTACAAATTACGTCATACTAAGTCAAAAATAAGAATTATTAGATAAAACAATATTATTTTGAGAAGTTATAGCCTAAATTGAATATTACAGTTAGTCATAAATATGGGATAATGTCAAAATTATGACATACTACATCATAATTATAAGATAAAAAGTTTAAATTGGCATACTAATTGACGGAAAATTACACTTTTCCTGTCATAGTGACTTTTTATTTTAGAATTTCAACGTTTTATCTCATAATTATGACTTATGATTTCATCATAATTATTTACCGAATTGTGATCCCCCCCCCAACCTCATATTTCAGGAGAAGTCTTCCATAGTTGTGTAGCCTAAAAGGCTGTAGATGTGAAACCTGTAAGATGTGCTACTCCAGTGGGATTGTGCCTGTGAGAAGTGTCACTTGAGATAAGTGTTTGCTAAATGATTTAGAGCAGCAACAGGCATGACTGCTGTGAAGATGCCAGTGCTTTTAACCTAAAGCTATAGGTGAGTCGGGGCTAGTTGTCCCACTTTTACTCCAGCGAAAGTCAGTATAAATCAGTCTGTGTGAACTGTAGAGTCTCGGCTACAAAACATTGGACATTTCCACTGTTATTGCACAAGAAAAATAGATTTTAACACATTGACCACTATAGCGGGGCGTGTTGTCACACTATTGTTCTTGCATATTGTAAGCTTTTAAGGAAGATTGAAACGGTGAAATGATTATGAAATCTAAAACCACTGGCCAACAAAGATCTAGTGACAACTTGCCCCATGCTTTTTGTTCCATACCATAACTTGGAGTCTATACAGTTTGTATGAGCGGATAACTATAGCTGTGTCACTTTGCTTGCTGCTGCTGCTGCTGTGTGTTTGTGTGACCGTTGTTTGAAGCTGCTGGATTGAATCCAGATAAAAGCAACCTTTCGTCTGCCTTGCTTTGATGTGTGTAATACAGGCATCGACTGTGCTGGTGAAGGTTTGTTGTTCCTCAATCTGTCTGCAGGTGAACCGATGATCGTTAAAGCTGTTTTTGGTGTGCTACTGAAACGTCTTGTGTCAGAATGAGTTTCGCTTTCACATGGGGATGAGAACGCTGAAAATGCACACACAACATGCTTCAGTTATTAATGAAACATGAGCTTTAGTGCTGCTTTGCTTTGCTTTTTGTTTTTAGCAGTGTGCTTTAGTGCTGGTAAAGTGCTTATTTTGTTTTTATACTAAACATTGCTATTATTATTATTATTGCTGATGGTTGGTGTTAAGTTTTGAACTTCCGTGTGTAACTCGCCACACAGTTTGTGCTCCAGATATGAATGTTTTTACTTTTTGTTTTAGTAAAATGTAAATAGTATGTACATTTATATTATTATATATATATATTTTTTTTTACATTTTTGCCACTGCTATTTTATAAACATTATTAACTTTTTTTGTAGCCTACTTTTTGGTGCATATTTCAGGTGTACCTTTAATTTTTTGTATGTTTTTGTTTATTTAAAGTTTAAATTGAATTTTTACATTTTTACCACTGCTGTTTTAAAAACATTAGCTTATACACTTGTTTTGTAGCTTACTTTTTTGCTGTACTGTCTTTTATAAGTTTTGTCTTATTTAAAGTTTGAAGTTGCTATTGTGTATGACGAGTCTTGATGTCTCATTTTATTTAAAGTGAAACTTTATAAGAAAAGAATAATTTATGAAAATTCTGTCATTTATTCAGCCTCATGTTGTTCCAAACCCTCATGATGGACTTACTGAGACACAAAAGGTGAAATTTTGAAGAATATCTTTAACAACATTAATGCAGCAGCGTGACTAAAGACTGATCTGATTTGAGAGTTTGTCAGTGAATAAGGACTTCAGTTTGGGTCTGTTCCTCATAGAAAACTCAGAAAAATAAAGCGTTATATACTGCACTACTTTATGATAATTTCTCACTCTAGGGTTTTTTTGTTGATATTTTGGAGCTTGACGGCACTTTGATTATATTTTAGTGTATTCTTCAGAATTTTATCTTTTGTGTTTGAGGGAAGAAAAAGTCATTGTGGTTTGGTGCAGCATGAAGGGGAGAAAATGGAGTTCTCATTTCAGGTGAATTTTTCCTTTCAGATGTCAGAGTGCTGTTTATTCAGGTTCATATAGTTTCGCATTAGTTCAAGACTAAGGTCCAGCTGGCTGACATCATATTGATTTCTCTAACGTACTGAAGTCAGACTTTGTGAAATGAGTAACTGTGGAAACAGTTTTTTTCTACAGTTTTTTTTTTCTACAAAAAAATGTTGGTGTGGAAACCATTTTCATCATTGGGATGTTTTGCATTGTGGTGTTACTTTTACTATCAGTGCTCATTTTGCATAAATCAAACATAAATGCTTATTTTGCATAAATAACATCAACATACTATCAATGCTTATTTTGCATAAATCAGAGCTTATCTTGCATAAACTACGGCTTTATATCAACTTGAAATATTGTTCGCAGCTCACAGTAGGCTCTTTCCATTACAGCTTTGCGCAAAACTTTAGCGATATTTTATAAATGGCGATAAAAAAGTATTGCGAAATGATGACGTTTCCATTAACCAATGTTATGCGACTATAACGTAACCTTTTGCCTCTCGCGATAAATCGCGACAACGGATTTTGGTGGGATTTTGGCTATATTTATTCAAAGGAGGTGTATGCGTGTATCTTTACAGAAGCAGCACAGAGATCCGCTTCAGAAACGTGTTTGGCGCGGCTGGAATAAACACAAGCATTGACTACAGTGGCCGTAATCAGCTTCAGTGGCCGTATCAGAGCCACACTGCACTGCAGACGTGTGCAATGTAAATTATCGAAGCATTAATGGTAGGGAAAGCCCCTTATACTGGAGAGCCGCCACGTATGAAGTGTTTCTTGGAGGTTATAGTACATTGAAGAATGATCATATGACTTTTTACATACGCCATGTGACCTGTAAATGCGGGGGAAAAAAAAAAACGTTTCCATTGCAGTTTTGCGAATTATTCCTTTTTCGCATTGCCTGAAAAACCACCTCATGCGAGCATAACTTTTTTGCGATATATGGGCTTTTTTGCGATTATTGTAATGTATTGGAGCCAAAGGTGGCTCTTGATTATATGGTATATGGGTGTAAAAAACTCTTTATTTAGCTAAATCTTGTGCTTTTCTCCATGATATGCATGTATAGTCTCATTTAGTTGACTGTAGCTGCACTCATGGCACCCGCTGAAGTTTGGAAATGTTCTTGCCAGAGTTTTTTGAGCTTCCCCAGAAAGTCTAGAGGAATTTGCGGTTCGCATCCATGAGCATGTGAAGCTTGTCGAGTCTATGGCCTCTCATTCATCAATGCCTCCCTCCTTTTGTCACGGGGAGCTGACTGGAGGGTTTATCCCCTGTTGGGACATGCTGAATGGGCGTTCACCGCTCTGTGAGATGGATAGAGTTACAAGGAGCAGCTTGGCAGAGCTTGGCCCGAGGCTGGGTGGAATCGGAGAGAGGAGCCGTACGCTTTAATGAGCGCTTCCTCTCAGGAAAGCCAAGATCCTGTTCTCCTTCTCGGAGCGGAGGAGGACGCTGCAGGCCTCGGAGCTGCTGGTGAGGGGGCAGGAGAACGCAATTAGCTTCTGGCTATTGAAACGGGGGATGGAGAGCGGCCGCTAAACGAGAGTCATGATTACAGCAGCTGTTCTTCTGTTTGAGCCTGCACCGCTGAGATTTGCCTTTCTTAATATGGTCAAACTAAACTTGATGCAATTTCTTGGCTACATGTAGGCTAGATTTTGTTGCCACAGTAACTGTGATGACTGATATATAGCACAGGCTGATTATTGAGTTGATACTTGGCCATTTAGATTTTTTTTTTTAGTAAATACTGTCTCAAATAAGAGTTTCTTTCCACTGAGCTGCCAGCATCAGCATCATTAAGTAAAGGAGTAGTTCACCCAAAAATTAAACTTTGCTTAATCGAAAGCAAATAACAAAAGAAACACACACACACACACACACACACACACACACACACACACACAGTTTGTTTGTGGTCAGTAAGTTTTTTTTTTTCTTTTAAGAAATTAATACTTTTTTTCAGGAAGGGTGCATTAAATTGATCAAAAGTGACAGTGAAAACATTTGTAATGTTACAAAAGATTTCTATTACAAATAAATGCTGTTCTTTTGAACTTTCATCAAATAATCCTGAAAAACAATTTGTTTCCACAAAAATATTTGACAGCACAAATGTTTTCAACATTGATAATAATCTGAAATATTTCTGGAGCAGCAAATAGAATGATTTCTGAAGATCATGTGACACTGAAGAGTAATGATGCTGAAAATTCAGCTTCGATCACAGGAATAAATTACATTTGAAAATATATTCACATAGAAATAGATATTTTAAATAGTATTTATAAATAATATTTCATGATATTACCTTTTTTTTTTTTTACTGTATTTTTAAAGGGATAGGTCACCCAAAAATGAAAATTACCCCATGATTTACTCTATGTAAAGGCATTCTATGTGTATATGACTTTCTTCTTTCAGAGGAATACAATCGGCGTTATATAAAAAAAATGCTTCCAAGCTTTAGAATGGCAGTGA